TCTCTAGCCAAGATGTGGAGCTTTCCTCATCGTCAACCGAGACAACCCCGGCTTAACTTGTATGGAAAGTTGGCAGAATTCTGGGGCCCGGATCTACTGACAGGGGTATAGATCAGGGCTTATCGGTGGAAAATCGATTTCTATTGCCTATTCACATTATGTTTTGAATCCTGTTGCGGCTCAGAAAGAAAGCTCAAGAAAAAAAAAAAAAAAAATAGGCACAGCTTTGATGCCAAGTTGCATCCATAGAAATTAAGCGTAGGTGGGTCCACTTCCGGACAGGGGGAGTGGGGTTGTGCTAATCCACTTTTTACAAACACTGGCCAATTACGACCTCGGTTCGGCATTCTATTATCTAATAAGAATCACCGGACTCGCGTGGCTGGCCGACGATAGCCGCTGACTCCGATGCTGGGCCCACCTCGAGTCTCAATGCTTCAAGCTGTTACTAAATGCCAAGATAGACGCTTATTATCGGGTTGTCGTCTGCTAGCAATCTTGGAAATATCAAGTGAATTGTAATCCATTGCATTGTAGGTTATATCCTCTGTACCCGAGAGATGGCAAATTATGGTCCAGTAGCCAAAAATTCTAATACACAAAGAACCGTGGGTCCGAGTAAAGCTCTTTTCAAGGTTTGCCACCAACAAAAATTTAATTTCAGTCAAGCCTTGCCAACTCCGCCTAGGCAGAGATTTATGGTTCGACTATTTTAACAAGCGCATCCGAAAGCTAATCAATGCAGAGCTATTAGGGCATATTCTGCCCATGCCTTGGCTCGGGTATATAATTCCTAAACAGTCCCTTGGCTACCAGTGCAACAATCTACTGTTCAAAAGATTGGATCATCCCTTTGTGATCGGGAATTCGTTGTATACCTACCGAAACAGAAATTGGAGTCTCCGTCCTCATGTTACATGCATCTTGTACTCCGTAGCACCCTCCACATGTTGGGGCTTGCATTTCCCAACTTCCCCCGGATGACCCCGGGTTGTAAGCAATTCGAACGTAATCAAAGTTTTATGCACGAATGATTCGTCTCCACACTCACTGACTCCTCAAAAGCACTCCACCTCTCTGGGTCTGTCACACAACGTAGTCAATGAAGGTGTTGATCTCACCACACCTGCTGCACCCAATTCCCTAATCCAAATTATGCTATCCAAAGTGACATTTCATGAGTCAAAGGCCGGAAGCATCCGTGAACGCAACGATCAAGTAGGAAACGTCAATGAAGTCACTCAAATTGGCTCATTGGTAGTGGCCTAGAAGGGCTTGGCCTGAGTAGTCCAAGGTTCATAGGGCTAGTTGACACTCCGCCCGTCGAGGCTACCGTTAGTTTTTTTTCGCTATGAGGCGTCGGAAAGAGGGTTTGAGGATGTTTCGCTAATTTTGGTTGTCTGATCATTCTCTCATCGTAGTATTTATCAGTGGAGGTATAATATGTCTTGGAGGGTGTTTAGGGTAGACGTTGTGGTATACAAATTCCTCGACGTTTATGTGGTTTGAGCAGGTATTCGGGGTAATGGCATCGAGTGAAGAATTCCTAGCATGGAGACTTGGTCTGGTTTGATGATAATATCGTAGAAAAAAATTGATCACGGCCGAGACCGATGAACAGACTTAGCACACGCCAACAGAACAAAATTGTATTTAACTAATTTTAGGTAGTTAACGCCGAAGGGCATGGAAGATGGTGGTTGAGTATCGATTTTTTAAGAATCAGACGTCCAGAAAACAGTAACAAACCAACCAGAGAGGTGTCGATAGCTTGTATTGTTAATCTTACTCGACTGCATGCATCTAATCCAGAGTAAGATGGGCTTGCCGACAGCAAGCCACACTGAGCAATGTGTCTGGCACAGGTGAAAAGGCAGTAGGTCGTTCACGCCAGTCATGGAGTGGCTGCTGATAGAGAACTTGAAGTGTGCATCACAAGGTTCATTTATCAGGGCAGATCTATAAGACATCACGGCCCTAAGACCTGAAAACATTGAACCTAGGTCCTACAATTTAATTATTAAATGAGAGCGCAATTTCCTAATCTATGATGGTTGCAAATATTGTGCGCAAGAGGATGCATTGAAATATGCAATTGCCTAGTCAGTATCAAGGTATTATGATCTAATACCTACATTAATGCTGATCGGAGGAGACGCTCCATCTCTCGGAGCGACTCGGGCTTGGAAGTCACACTGGACATCAGGTAAAGAACATTGCCAAGGACGCGCGAGTGACAATTGAACTGATCACCGCCAACAGCCAGCCTCTGCTGCAGTCCCTTAGCAGCATTGGAGTTGTAGCCTGCGATTTGGTTAGCTTCATTAATGTTTCAGACCTGAAGAACGTACCTCCACCAGCTTCATCCCGAAGTGAAATACTAAGCACGGTTCCAATAGCAAACACGCTCTCCACCGAGTTCGTGGAAGATAGGTCCTGGAGAAGACCGTGCGACCAGACACTCCACACATCTGGAGTTGAAGCTTCGGCAGCAGCAGGCGAGCTGCTACGCCAGTCAGCGCGGTATGCATCCCACGTTCCATTAGCATCAAGCTCAGCCATGGCCTTCAAGGAATCAACAGCAACCGTGCATCCAACGGCATGGGCGGTGTAACTGTGGCCATGGAGGAGGGCATCGCTCTTCTCAGGACTTGAGAAAGCACTGAAAATTTCCTCGCTAGCGATAGTCGTACATAGCGGTACCAGCCCACCCGTGAGAAGTTTAGCGTTGACGGCGACGTCGGGGTGTACACCTAAGAAAGACGCGGATGTGCGACGGCCGAGACGGTACAATCCGGTAAAGACTTCATCGAAGATGATTGGCAGTCCGGACCACGACGGAGCTTGCGTGGGAGGGGGAGCGTTGGTGGAGAATAGCTCCGGATAGTCGCGGACCACATCAGTCAGACATCTTTGGAAGAGTGGATCACTAGAAGGAGATGGTTAGATCATCTCTGCATGAAAGATTCTACTTCTGCATTCTTACCAGAAAAGCATTCCACCCGCACCGAGGATGACTGGTTCCAGAATTAATGCACCAAACTTTAGCCCTTGACGCTGGACTAGATCCTCAATTGTGCGACGGATGTAGTTCTTGTAACGCTGGGCAGTGACCGACTCAAGACGCTGGCTGAGGTCAAAGATCGACCCCAATGAAGCGAAATCAACATCGTCGCCGAGTTCTGTCTGCAGCTCACCGGGTATCTCAACTTTCCACGATCTGCCAACCATCTTGACAAGAGGGAAATCGAACCAATAGCCACGACCGCGATACCACTCAACCTTCTTATTGAATGTTGAAGGCTCCGAACAATCCATCACACCGATGGTGTCACCGTGGTAGCTCCCCTTGAGTCCAAGAATACCAATCTGCTCCTGGCTGGCGTCCCAGCCGTACCGGTCGCAAGAAGCGCGTAGACCCATCTTGACAGCAACTTCCATTCCTGTGCTGCCATTATCTGTGTAGAAGACCTTGGTGAGTCTTGGATTTTCGATGGATTTCAGTAACTTGTCCGCAAGCGAAAGTGCTGGCTCATGGACAGCTCCTGCGAACATGACATGTCCGTACCGACCGGCGGCATACGCAGCAGATAGTGACAGCTCGGGATTACCGTGGCCCAAGCCTTGCGTCCACCAAGACGCAGATCCGTCAAAAGTTGGGCGCAGTTCGCTTTGGGAATCTTTCGGTGTGTTGGAGCCGAAGGTTTGGAAGTAATCGTCATGCGCTGAGTCGATGACGGTAATGTCCTTGGCCTTCATGCCTTGATGTTGAGTAAAGGGATACCATATCACCTCTTGCGCGCGGTCGGTCATCTCTTCCAGGCGCTGGACGCGCTCGGTATTGTTGGCGGACATCTCGTCAAGCAGTCGGAGGATCTCCGACTGCTCTGCGGACTTTTTGTAATAGTTGAGCATGGCCTCTTCGTCCCTTAATCGGGAGTCAGCATCCAGATGTGATGGTCTGGAAGGAGGTGCCGGTAGTGAAACTAATGGAATGCTTTTTTTCTGGAAATAATCACGAAGGTATTCGTGATTTTGGTAGTACTCATCTCGGAACAAGAGAACCGACGAAACATCATAGCCACGGACGAGCAACGACTCGTAGGCAGAGATCGAAGAAGAGATCCCCCCTAGGCGAGAGTCTGCCACTAGCACGATTGGCAGCCGGAGTGGTCGATACAAGTCTGCCTGTGAGTTGCCATTGGGGCCCGGGGAGTGCACACCCCCGGCGGTCTCAACAAGGGCGAAATCAATGTCCGACCGCGCCCAGTCGGACAGCGTGGTATGTATGGATGCGAGGAGATCATCGTCTCGCGGAATCTGCCCGATGAGCTTCGTGTATTCTTATTCACACAAATGAGCACTTACGAATTTGTCCTTGGCTGCCAAATGCGGGCTCACTGGGTCATCGAATTGGTGGAGACACTTGGTGAGTGTCCCAGCCCCGTAACGTTGTAAGTGCCTGCAACCATCAGCGAGTGAACTGAATTAAATCCAGTTGAATTACTTCAAAGCCCTACCTATCGTCGGCATCATCCAATGCCCCTGTTGACACAGGCTTGAGGAATGCGGCCCGCTGTTTCTGCCGTTGAACAGCATTACACAACACCGTGGAGATAATCGTCTTCCCCACGTCTGTGTTAGCCCCGTAGACTTGGTGGGCTCGTAAACTGCGCCAAAGCGCTGCGCCAACTGGAGGCATGATGGGATGAAGTGAAGTGAGTCACGATGAAGCTCAAAACAGACCTCGGTACAGTTGAGTTTCCGACTCCACGCCAAAATCCCCACATTTTCTGCATTTCACCGGACTCTCTTGTTGGGCGCCTCAACGACTTGGACCTTTTGGCTCTGGGGAATTGGATCTGTTCTATTACCAATCTCAACAATCAACATAATTCCAAACAAAAAAAAAAGAAGTGGATCATTCGTGGCTCACCCCTTGGGGACAAGAATCAAGATCAGGACAATTGACGTCAGTGATCATAAAAAAAAAAGATCCAATGGCTGCTCCTCAACCCGGGTCATCGAGCGCAGCCTCGCCCAAACCCCTTGTTGCCTCACTATCTGCCGCGTTGTTGCGCCGAGAAGCTAAATCAGCCCGTCGGAGGCTGACCGTTTTACCCCGGACAGCTGTGGATTTTTCTTCCAATGACTTCCTGTCACTGTCAACGTCTCCTGCATACCGAGAACGGTTTCTGGCACTTTTGAATAATATATCACCATCATTCCCTCTAGCCAGCGGAGGTTCTCGGCTACTAGATGGGAATTCGGCTTACGCGGAAGAGCTCGAGAACTTTGTCGCGGCATTCCATCAAGCCCCAACAGCACTTCTATTCAACTCCGGATATGATGCCAATGTCGGCGTACTGTCCAGCATTCCCCAGCCAGGTGATGTGATTTTGTACGACGAGCTCATCCACGCCAGTGTTCATGAGGGTATGCGACTGTCGCGGGCCGGTCCGCGGAAGATGTTTGCTCACAGTTCGCCAACTGGCTTGAAAGAGGCTCTGCAATCTCAAATAGCCGAAGACCCTGCAATCGCAGAAGGCACGCGCAATGTCTTCGTGGTCATAGAGTCTATCTACAGCATGGACGGTGACGTTGCTCCTATCAAGGAGTTTATCGCGGTTGTTGATGAGCTGCTACCTCACGGTAATGGATATTTCTATGTCGACGAAGCGCATGCAACTGGTGTATTTGGACCGCGGGGTGCTGGGGTGGTTCAGGAACTCGGCATTCAGGATCGCATTTTCATCCGAGTGCACACATTCGGCAAGGCACTAGCGAGTCATGGAGGTAGGTTGTCTTGTCTAGATTGATCGGCCCATGAAATTTCCGGCTGACCTGTGTCTAGCCATGGTTCTCTGTGGACCAGAGACAAGGGATTACCTGATCAACTACGCCCGGAGTCTGATCTACACCACTGCTCTAGGATTCCCATTTCTGGCATCGATTCGCGCGGCATATGAGCTCTTATCATCCGGTGAAACTGAATCAGTGAATCGATCCCCCTCTCTAGACTCTCCCACTACCAATAGCTAACTGGATCACAGTTACAATGCCGGCTTCAGGAGTTGATCCGCCATCTCCGACAGCGGCTTGACGGCCTCCGTACACATCAATCGGTCATGTTCGAAGTCGACCATTTCCCCACGTCTCCCATCATCTCCCTTCGCACATCGCAGCCACGACAACTGGCGAGTCGCTGCCAGGAAAACGGATTCATTGTGCGAGCGATTATGCCACCGACGATACCCGAGGGAAGGGAACGGGTGCGCGTGTGTTTACATGCGGGAAACACCGAGAGTGAGATCGATGGTTTGACGCGAATGATCCAGTCGTGGCTCGATCAAAGTTATAGAAATGCGTCAAAATTATGAAATTGGGAGGTTCTTTGGGCTTTGTCTTTCCGTGGAGATGGTCTCCTAGCAATGCTTAGTGCAAAGTGCTTAACTCGAGTTGGATTTTGGCCCGATTGGATTTGGATTCCTGTTATTTTTATTATCTCACAGTTGTCAATTCGGACTAATTGTAACATGATACCTGCATAGTTACCTGGCTCCTTGAAGGCTGTTTGTTAACCAACACCTTTTCTTGTTGGAATGTACTTGGGGATTTCTTCTAGGTTGTGAGACTCGCACGAGATCATTTTGGAAGGTTGTCCATCTCTTTTCGATTCAATTTCAATTTTTCCCTCCGGGTTCAATCCGCTGTTAGCAACTCCTTTCAAAGGGGAACGGGGCGAATCAGCCATGCCCAGGCCCCTCGATCTACTCTCCTTCTCTTCACTTGTTTCGGTGCTGCCTACGGAACCGCGCTGGGGTAGCTATAGTATTCACGTTTGGCGCTCTTTAAGGGAGGTCCAGGAATTTGTGATGCCGTGACATTCCACGGAAAGCATCAAAATATTCTGTTGCTTGTCTGGCTGGCAGCACAGCAAATCTACCGGGTGGTCCTTTGCCAGATCACGAAGAATGTGGTTAACTAACAAGCCCTCGATTACGGTCAATCTTGCCCACTGTTGCGGGAGGGTACGCATTTGATCGGCCGTAACACTATGTGGAGGAGCAATGTTGCCAATTCTTTACAGCCGAGACCAGATGCAACGACGATCTTGACGGATAATATTAATCGCCAATCGCTCTTCTCTAAGGCGGCTAATCTGCTAACGGCTGGTTAATTTGCATCTGAAGTTTACTTGTTTATTGAACATCTAGACCATAGATTGCTCTACCTTGATTTCACTAGCCCGAGTATCCGAGCGGTCCATGGTAGTAAATCGACTGAAATCGCTCAGATCCCGACGATCACCATCACCTCGATCTACAGCCTTTCGGTCCTGGCGACGGAAGTAAACACGCTTACACCACTTCCAGCTCTCAATGCCAAGGAAGAAAAGCACCGTCTCAACAAAAACTATAGCCCACTCCCAGGAGATATTGCTGTGCTTGAAGACCCTGTGATTTATGACGGGGATGTAGATAATAGGGAAGGCAAGAACGAAACCAGTCATGATGCCAAAGAAGAGGACCTTGTTGCGCCAGATATCATGCATCCACTGGGTAAAGAGTTTCGTTGAGTTGGGCTGCATCTGGAAGAAGCTGCGGCGTAGGTGCATCATCTCCCAGGCGAGGAAGAGGGCGAACCATGTCATGCAAGTAAAGGTAGTAGCGCGGGCACGGAAAACTGTATCGCAGTCGTAGGGTTTGCTAGGGTCGTTGTAATGTGTGTTGCAGCCCTGGGCGAGATCGCCATTGCCCCATCGGAACATGACGAGAGAGAATGCCGACAGACAGAGGGCAGCCATCCAGACTCCGTAGACGAGGGTGTCGATAATGATTTCCCAGGTGAAGATGCCTTGTTTCTGTGGTTTTTTTTTTTAGTAAAATGTAGTTGTAGGGAATTGGGCTTTCAGGACTTACGCTTTGCGGTGGCCGGTCCATCACTTCTGGGGCAGCGATCTCCATTCCGAGGCCCATGTCAGGGAGACCAGAGGTAACCATGATTATCCAGATGATCTCGACCGGGGAGATAGGGAAGACAGACTGGCTGCTGTCGTCCTTGAAGGCCAATCCAATCAGCAGGGTCAAAGCCAAGGCAACATTTTCCGCAAGAAGATGCAGAACGAATTTCTGGATGTTGTCGAAAATCCGACGACCTTCCTCAATACCGTTGATTATAGAGGCGAAGTTATCATCAGACAACACAAGTTCGGAAGCATCTTTGGCCACATCGGATCCATTCTGACCCATGGCAATGCCGACATCAGCCCGCTTAAGCGAGGGAGAGTCATTGACTCCGTCACCGGTCATAGCCACAAAGCGCCCACGACGGTGCAGTGCATCAATCATACGGACTTTGGTATTAGGCGCACACCGAGCAATAACTAATGGAAGGGTGGGAAGTTCATCAATCTCGTCTTCGGTCAATTTATCAAACTGGGAAGCCGTCATAACCATAGCATCAGCAACATCCTTAGCGATCAAATCCATATTCGCGGGAATGATTCCGACTTGAGCAGCGATCGCACGCGCAGTACCGGGGTGGTCACCAGTAACCATGTGCACGGAGATTCCAGCCTTGTAGCACAAAGCAATAGCTCCTGCCGTCTCCGGGCGAGGAGGATCATAGAGACCGATCAATCCATAGAAAGACAAATCCTTCTCAACCTCCTCACGGGGAAGAGGATCACCTTCTTTTGCTGGAGAGAAGTTCTCACGGCCGGCCATAGCAAGCACACGAAGACCCTCTTTAGCCAAAGCCTCCATGTTCTGCAAGATTTCACTGCGCATTTCACCGTTGATAGGAACAGGCTGGGAGTCAGGCTTCCATTTGATAGTGGTGCATGCCTCGAGAACTCGCTCCACAGCGCCCTTGGTGAAGATCATTTCGCGGCTCTTCTCGGAGTTGTCGTCGTGCTTAGTGAAAATGACGGACATCTTCTTGACGCTTGAGTCAAATGGGTACTCGGCCTGTTGTTGCCAGATCGGCTTGTCGCCCTTGGTCCAGCGATCTAGACCCCAATTGAATCGAGAGGCAAAAACCTGAATGGCAATGTCGGTAGGTTCTCCGCGAGCCTGCCACCCCTCAGTGGCACTTTGGTGGAGATGGGCCAGGTTGGCCATGGCAGTGACGTTGAGGAAGTCCTTGAGTGTGTCATTGTCTTTCAACAAATCATCTGATGATGCTGGACTACCCAGATTCTCCGCACCCAGTTTGACTGGGGGCTCGGCCATCAAGCTCAGCTCACCGTCTTGGGGGTTGAGAGGCTCACTCGAGGCACCAACTGAGTAAGTTCCCAGGGATGGAAGCCAAGCCCTCTTTGCAACCATACGGCCTTGGGTCAGAGTACCAGTCTTGTCTGAGCAGATATTGGTAACAGCACCGAGTGCCTCCAAGGAATCCAGCTTCCGAACAATTACGTGACGTTGGACCATCTGTTTTGTTCCGACGGCCATGGTGATAGTCAAGACAACCACTAAACAGGCCGGAATCATAGCCAGACCAGTTGCGACCGCATAAATGATGACCTCGTTATCACCACGCCAGTTGTTCGACGCAGCAACGACAATCGCAAAAACGACAGCAATGGCAAACAGCAGAAGTGCCAGCTTGGACAGTTTCCGCTGCAAAGGAGTGCCAACATTGGTGCCCAGGAACCGACCAATAGCATCAGTGGTCGTCAATGTCCAGGCCTGGATATACCATCTCTTCTTTGTTTCGCCTTCGGGTCCACGCTTAACAGGACGACGCTTCGAGCCAGTTCCGCGGAGGGCTAGGGCGATAGCTCCAATCTCGGTTTTCATTCCGGTTCCAACCACGACACCACGTGCTCGTCCTCGGGTTACGGTCGACGAACTGTAGGCAATGTTCAGCCTGTCGCCTGGGCCAGTGTCGACCTCGAAGATCGCCTCCGCCTCCTTCTGTACCGGGAGGGACTCGCCAGTTAGCAGCGCTTCGTCGGTTTCAAAGTTAAATGCTTCGACAAGCCTGTGAAGCTGTTAGATTGGGTTGTGGCGTAATTTGTGCGGGTGTTGTGGTGCTTACCTGACATCAGCAGGAACAGTGTCTCCTACTTTCAATTCGACCATATCGCCGGGGACAATCTCATTGGCTGGGACGGTTGCAGTCTTGCCATCGCGAGAGACAACACCTGTAGGCGAGCTGAGTGAGCGTAGCGAATCCATGGTCTTCTCTGCGGCGTAGTCTTGGTAGACACCGACTACGATGTTAAGAGCGATGACGGCAGCGATGAAACCTCCTTCGATCCAGGACTGGATACCAAAACTAACGGCCATGGCGATAATGAGGACCTACAACATTTTAGCAATCAACGTTTGGCGGATCTCTCCAGCTTCTAACTTACCAGCATCATGGCATTGGCGATCTGTCGAATGACGATCTTCGCCAAGGAGACACCTTCGTCTCCTTCGAGTGTGTTCTCGCCATATTTTTCAAGGCGCTGCTTGACCGCTGCAGTTGTCAGACCATCGTCGGAGTTTGTTTGGAGTTCGCCGATGACATCTTCGAATGAGAGACTATGGGCGGGTTGGGAGAGAGGTTGCTGTGTACTGTCAGTAGGGCTCTCAGGACCAGAGCCTTTTTGAGCTGCCTGCGACATTTCGCGATTTCGCGAATGATAAGAGTGTTTCTCCAGTTGAGCGAGTTAGATGAACTGAGTGAAAGATGGACTTCTATGAGACTCTTAGGGGGGTAACTTGTAGAAGGTATCTGTAGGAAAATGAGAGTTCATACACCGTAATTACTTAGAATAATAAGCACACTTCTATATGAAATAACCTTCTTTCTTTGCTTCTGGGGAGATTTCTCAACGTATAAATAGGATCAGTCGATGGCGAAAGATAAGCGGCTATTTAGACCGGAAGTAGTCTGATGGAAACCGTGTCCGACATCCGGGGAACTGATATTCTGATCGCCAATCAACTTGATCTACCAGATCTCGGTATTAACCGGACACTTCTTGGCGCATCATACTGACTTGCCCTACTCAGACGATGACGCAAACGACTCTGGGCACGTCTCGCCCGGTCTCCATGCAATAATTCTCTGGATCTGATTGGTACGGAAGAGTCTTGGCATGCCTTGGCTGGACCGGTCGTCACTTTCTGTCTCTTTTTCCACCTCTAGGCGTCTTGGCTCTTGGCTCTTGGAACCTCTTGGCATTACGGGGCTCGAGATTTCCTCCGCTTCATAGTCACCTACTTCTCCGGGGAAAGTTTTCTACTCCTGTATGGCAAAAACTCCGATTTACACTTGTTTTGTTGCCTCAAATAATGGGCCATCAAAGATTGTTGGGGACACGGTGCCTGAATACATGATTGTCCCGAGTGATCCGATCCAGGTTGCACAGTCTCACGTT